GGGTAGGCTCCCCCAGCTTCTTGGATGGGCAGTAGATAGGATGTCTGTGAGGTCAGGGCGGGTCACAATGAGTAGAATGGTCCTTCCAGCTGGGTTCTATCACCCATGGAGGGCCCCTCCCTGGGGTGGTTGAACTGCAGACATCCCTAGCATGCATGTGGGGGACTTGTGCAAGGAAGTAGTTACCCCCGGGGTCTGGACAGGTCGAAAGGAACTAGGTCCAGGACTGGGCCAGGTGAGGGACAACCAGAAGAAGTGAGCAGAGACTGCTAGGCCCACAACCAAAAACAGAACACAGGGCACTCTGTGGGACCAGGTCTTGTACTGCACACAGAACACGCAGAATCCAATAGGCCTGTCTCAGGGGCTTCAACCTGAGAGCGTGGTCCTGGGAACACGGCTAAATGATAACAGGCCAGTGCAGCCATGTAAGACGGCGACAAAATGCATGCTTCAGGGGAAGGGCCTTTGGACAGCACAGTATTCTAGAAAGGCTTCCGAGAGGTGTTGTTAAGATAGTCCCAGAGCTAGCCTGAGCCAGCCCTTAGGCAGATAAGGGGAGGCGAAGAAAGGAAGCCTTTTTGCTGGAACCAAGGAGCAGATGGTGTTGGGGAGGGCCAAGTATGCAGAAGGATCTGAGCAGACACCACAGACCGGTGCCTGAGAGACGGATCAAGGGCCCCACAGGCGCAAGGCATGTTGCAGTGACTTGCTCATACCTGCGGGGCTGGGAGGCTGGGGCCGAGTCAGGCCTACTCTCACAGTATGGCTGCTCCTGTTCGGGTCGCCGTGCTGGCGAGGGGCGGACCCGGGGCCCGGTCCTCGCCGTGTCTCGGGCCCTGTGGCTGGTCTCCGAGCGCCGCCCGGCGTTAGAGCGCGGAAATACAGACCTGCCGTGCTTCTTACGATCCATCAGGCTCCGCGCCTAAAATAGGAATAAAATGGGTTAGATTTAGAGTGCTGGCGGGAAAAATTGCCCTCTCCCTTGGGAGGGCGTGAGATCTCAGAGCATCCGATCATTTTGCCTAACCCTTGCCCCTTTTACAAGCGAAAAATGAGGCTCCAGTCGAAGGATTTGCTCCGCCAGCACAATTTTGCTTGGTTCAGTCTGCCCATCTCAAGGTCCTGCTTAGAACCCACCCACTTCGGGAAGCTTTCCCTGAATGATGACGCTGAGCCAATGCGTCCTGCTGCACGCTCTATGCGCTTGCTTCACTCACTGTATTTACTCAGTGTCGTGTCCACTGCTGTCTACTCTGCCGGGCACTGGGCACCAGTGTGCTCCTCCTTACCGCTTATTCGCAGACTGTGGCTAGTAAAATATTCAACCGCACACTGGGACAAGCGCCACGAGTGGGTATAATCTAGCAAGAGACCTGACCCAGTAGACGGGACAAGGAGGAAGGCTCTGCTGAGGAAATCCTGCTTGTGTGGTAGCTAGAAAGAATGAGAGAGAACCTGCAGTGAGTGAGAGAAGTAGCGGAGGAACAGAACGTGTAACGGTCCTGTTGGGCCTGAAGAACAGCAGAAGGCCGGTACAGCTGGAGGGCCAAGAGTAAAAAGATAGGTAACGGCCGGCCGGGCAGAGGTGGCGCACGCCTTTAATCCCAGCACTCACTCGGGAGGCAGAGCCAGGCGGAGGATCTCTGTGAGTTCCAGGCCAGCCTGGTCTACAGCGCGAGATCCAGGACAGGCACCAAAACTACACAGAGAAACCCTGTCTCGAAAAACGGGAAAGAAAAAAAAAAAAAAAAAAAGATAGGTAATGAACACAGCCAGGAGCTGGCTTAGTTAGGTTTCTATTGCTGTGATGAAACACCAAGACGAAAAGTAGCTCGGAGAGGAAAGGGTTTATTTCATCTTACACTTCCACATCACAGTCCATCATCAAAGGGAAGTCAGGTGTCTTGGTTAGGGTTTCTATCGCTGTGATAGAACACCATGACCAAAAGGCAAGTTGGGAGGAAAGGGTTTATTTGGCTTACACTTCAGCCTTGCTGTTCATCACTGAAGGGAGTTAGGACAGGAACTCAAACAGGGCAGGCTCTCAGAGGCAGGAGCTGATGCAGAGGCTGTGGAGGAGAGCTGCTTACTGGCTTGCTTCCCCTGGCTTGCTCAACCTGCTTTCTTAATAGAACCCAGGACCACCAGACCAGGGACGGCACCATCTACCACGGGTTGGGCGGCCCTCTCGCATTGATCACTAAATGAGAAAATGCCTTACAGCTGGATCTTAAGGAGGCATTTCCTCAGCTGAGGCTCCTTCCTCTGATGACTCTAGCTTGTGTCAAGTTGACACACAAAACCACCCAGGACATCAGGGCTGGAATTCAAGGCAGGAACCTGGAGGCAGGAACCACAGAAGAAGCCGTGAAGGAACGCTGCTTACTGGCTTGTTCTCCATAGCTTGCTCAGCCTGTGTTCTTATAGCACCCAGGACCACTGACCCAGGGGTAGCACTGCCCACAGTGATCTGGGCCCTCAAACATCAACCATCAATCAAGAAAATGCACCCCAGGCTTATCCACAAGCCACTCTGGTGGGGGTGCATTTTCTCAGTTGAGGTTCCTGCTCCCAAAATCACTCTGGTTTGTGTCAAGCTGACATAAAACTAACCATCGCAGGAGGTTAGGGAGCGGGTAGGACCAGGGAAGGGAATGAACTCTGAGAAAGGGGGGCTTGCTAGGGATGGAATCTACGATCTTGTCCATGCTCCACAGGTGACCCAGTACGGAGTCACACTTCAGGAAAGAAAGGGAGCTTTGATGACAGAAGAAGAAAGCTGTTGAAGGACTTGAATCAGAAGAGCAGCCCCTCAGGTCTGCAGTTTGCAAAGCTCCTCCAGTTCTCTCTGGTAGGGAACGCACTAGAAAGGAGAAAGGGGGGAAGGGAGGGTAGTGAGGAGGTCATGGCAGCACCCAAGGGAGACCGGAGGCTTGTCAGGGGGTGGGTCTTCTGACTTTGAAGAGAGAGGGTATCAGAGATAAGGCCTTTCTCCGAAGAGTAGGGAGCTGGAGGAGGTCATGAGGTCACTTTGGGGCCTATTGGTCCGAATGCCTTTGAGACATCCGAGTAGAAAGGAGGCGGCAAGGACTGATGGATAGAGGGGAGACTGTTGGGAGAAAGGAAGGATCGCCTATGCAGAGAGCCACTGAGGAAATAGCATATCGGGAGCAGAGAGCTCAGGCCCATATACCTTCAATGTCGACAGCATAGGCAGGCAGGGGCCCATGCATAAGCTCAGAGAGGTTTGCATCCCGGAAGCAGAGCCACAAGGATCTGAAGAGCAGCTAGGCACGGTAACACACACCTGCACATTTCAGTGCTCAGGAAGCTAAGGGAGAAGATGAGGCTGGAAGCTGAGGCAGAAGGAGCATGAGTTCAAGGCCAAACGTGAGCTGCAAGAAAAGACCTTGTCTGAAAAAGTTGGTGGTGGGGAGGGTGGGGTGGAGAGAGCACGGTGGAGGGGTGCCTCAGTCAATAAAGAGCTTGAGGACCCGAGTTCCATCCCCAGAACCCATAAAACAAACAAAACAACAACCCAAACAGTGGCATGTACTTGTGGTCTCAGCAATGGTGAGAGGGAGGTGGAGCTAGACGGATCCCTGAGTTCACGGGCCTTCTAGCCTGGTCTACTTGGCAAAGTTCCAGGCCAATAAGAAACCCTGCCTAGGGCTAGAGGGATGGCCTGATGGTTGAGAACACTGGCTGTTCTTCCAGGGGACACAGGTTCAATTCCCTGCATCCACATGGTGGCTCACAACTGTCTGTAACTTATGCGTGTGGTGCACAGACATAAGCAGCCAAAACAGCAACACACACACACACACACACACACACACACACACACACACACACACACACACACACACACACAATTAAAATAAAAAAAAACCCTGTCTCCCAAAGTGGAAGGTACCTGAGGAATGACATCTTAGGCCATCCTCTGGCCTAAGATACATATACAGGTGCCCATGTGCATACACACACACACACACACACACACACACACACACACACACACACACCTCACACATTGCAGAAGAACAGGATGAAGTGCCTAAAGAAAGCCCGGGCGGTGGTGGCGCACGCCTTTAATCCCAGCACTCGGGAGGCAGAGCCAGGCGGATCTCTATGAGTTCGAGGCCAGCCTGGACTACCAAGTGAGTTCCAGGAAAGGCGCAAAGCTACACAGAGAAACCCTGTCTCGAAAAACCAAAAAAAAAAAAAAAAAAAAAAAAAAGAAAGGACAAATGCCCCCTAGCTTTAGCAAGCTGGCCCTGGTGAGTGTTGTCCCAGGAACATCAGGCTGAGAGCAGGCAGCCCACCAGCTACGAAAGAAAGAGGGGAAGAGAATGGGTTTGATTTCAAGAGGGATGAAGCCAAGGAGGCTGTATATTGGCGAGCAGGACTTGGCTGGAAGAAAGTGATTTGAAGACCTAGAGGCCTAGAGGAGAGACAGGGTTCCTGACATGAGTCTGCGGATGAGAGCAAAAGACGTGGTGGGGTGGGGTGGGGGGAGGGGCGGGGGCGGGGGCTGCCCTATATGACACCCTTCGGGTCCAGAAGAGCAGTTCCCAAGGGAGAGCAAGAGCGCTGCCATGAGTGCTAAGGATTTGGGGTGCTGGCGGCGTGAAGATGGATGAGAGGCCCGAATCAGGGAGTTAATATGGAACTGGGGTGAGAGCTGAGCCATGGGGAAAGAATGCTGGGAATGGGGAGTGCCCCAGACAGGGCAGAGCAGAGTGCCAGCCTTGGGGAGGAAGGTGAGCTTAGCAGCTTTAGGAAGCAAGGCCACCAACCTGTTCTTCGGGGCTCTGGGGGTGGAGGGGCAGAGGTATGGGGGGGGGTGGCAGAAGCCTGGGGCCAAGAAGCATTGAACCTTCTGGGTTTGGGTGGGGCAGAAGCCAGAAGAGGAGGAATAGTCACTGGCCTGGGAGCATCTGCATAGCAAACGCACAAGGAAGGATCTCTGGCAAGTAAGGAAACAGAGGCAGAGACACAGAGAGGTGAAGTCATTTACTCAGGAGTGCCTAACCACTTATTACCAAGCGATTATCATTAAGTTCAGCCCTGGAGCAGAGTTTGGCAGACCCAGCTGACTTCCAAGCAGCTGCTCCTGCCCTTCCTCCCTTCCCAGCAGAATAGCTCCTGCCCATGTACCTAGGAGGGACAGTGATACTGTGCCACCTCCACCAACGGTGGTGCTTCAGGCTGAGGAAGTCCACATGGGCTCTGTGACCCCAAAGAGAGTGGGGCCAGCACCAGGCTGCCTGCCAGGCCAGACCCTGAGTCCTGAGTACACATGGATAACATGGCAACCCCCAAGGGCAGAGAATCCCAGGACCTGCCTCTCTTTGGTTTCCTAAATGCTGCAACAACAACCCTCCAGAGGGCCAGACCTCTGGTGATCAAGGTGGCTCCCTTCAGCCCTGGAGAAATGGCGGGGGCAGAGTTGGGTTTAAGACGAAGTCAGACATAAGAGAAGGGGGCTTCCTGTGGCTGCCTATGCTGCAGCCACATCCAGTGTTAGTGGGACATCTACCTTGCTGCCCTCCTAGCTCCTGGGAGATGTGGGTTCAGGCCTCCTTGGTTCCCTCTAGGTGAGCCCAGCATTTTGTCCAAGACAGTCAGTCAATGTTTGCTGAATTAAATCTGGTCCAGCTCAGAGAGCCAGCCTGTCTGACTCTGAATTCCAGCCCCATGTCACTCCAGCTTCGTGACTCTGAGCATGCCACTGAATCTCTCTCTCTCAAAGCCTCAGTTGGCTATTATTAAACAGGAGTAGTTAGAAAGACCTGTGCCACCTCACTTGGGAGGGTTGGGCCCTTAGTTTATTGTTCTCCTGTCCTTGCCTTAAAAAAAAAAAAAAAAGAAAGAAAGAAAAAGAAAAGCAATTGAGCCCAGGCTGGCCTTGAACCCAGGATCCTCTTGCCTCAGCCTCCTTAAGTGCTGGGATTACAGGTATGTGTCATCATATCCATCCAACTCTGTTTTGAAATTCTTAACCCAGTTTTGGACAAGGAGCACTGCATGTTTAGCTTGGGTAGGGCCCTACAAACGCTGAAGTCCTGAGTAACAGTAAAACTGCGGAGGCTCCTTGCAATACGATTACATGAAATTCTCTGCCTAAGGTACATAGCGCATCAAAGAATGAGCAAAGGCTGTTACCCCTTACTATTCGGAGTATCCCGTGTGTGATAGTGAATGAAAGCCTGAATGAGTGAGAGCATAGGGAAGGAAGGCACCAGGCCGACATGAGATGGGAATTGGGGGTTGAGAGGGCTCTGAGGGAATTCAGACTGTCAAGTAGTTTCCGCCTTAGCTGGTAATCAGTGCTGTGGTCCGGACCCAGCTGCCACACCCCTCAAAAAGTCCACTTGGTAAGAGCTGAAGACGTAGATTCCAGTCTTTATTAGGCGGGTGTAGTCTTCGTTCCCTGGATGTGGTCAGTCCCTAGCTCGTTCAGCATCGGTCAGGGGTCCACAGAGGCCTGGATCAACGCTCAACCTGCACGACCGCCCTCGAGGAGGCGGGGCCTCGCGCGCAGGCGCCGAAGCGTCTCAGAGGAAGGGGTTGGTGCCAGCCTGCGGGGGCAGCGGCCCCGCCGGGCCGGACGTGGGCAGCAGCGGCTGAGGCAGGCTCGCGGGCGGCGGGGCGAAGGCTCCGGCTTGCGGGAAGACGCTGACCGAGGCGGGGAGGGTCGCTCCGACCGGCACGCTACTGAGCGGGAGGGGCAGGGAGGCGCTGTAGGTCATGGAGCCCAAGGGCGCCCCGACGGGTCCCCCCGGCGGCAGTCCCAGCGCGGGCGAGCCGGTGCGCATCTGGTTCAGGGTCGGCCTGCCTTGCTCGCCCGAGCCAAACGGGTTAGTGGGGGACGGAGCACCCAGACCTGCGGGCGAGAGAACAGAGGATAAGGGCTTTGCCACGGCGGAAGTGGCGAGGCCCAACGGGGTCCCAGACGCCTGGCCAGGGCGTTCTACCTGTCAGGAAGGGGTTCCGGGTCCTTGCAGCCAGGGGTGCCTTGACTAGTGAGTCCAAGTTGACCAAAGAAGAGGCAGAGGGGCCCAGGAAGGACTCCGGAGTCCGGCAGGGGCGCGCCTCCTTTCCTGGCTGCAGCGCCTCCCCCAGCACACCCAGGTCAAGGGCTTCAGAGTCCTTCATGCCATTTTGCTTGCAGCTGGGGCTTGCGTCTCCAAATGGGTCTAGCTCTGAAAGAATGGGGATCAGTTCGGTGGTGGCGAAGGAAGAGGGCGGAGGCGCCCCTGGAGTCCCCCCTAAACCAAATAGCTGTAGCCCCTGGCCTCTTGCTCACCCACAGGGCTGCTGGACTTCCCCGTGGCCAGGGCCTGGCTGTCCTTGGGCTCTGTGGATTCTAGAGGTTTGGCAAATGGATCGAAGGATGGGGCACCACCTAGAGCTAGCCAGGAGAAAGAGGGAAATGGAGTGAACTAGAAGAAAGGTACGGTCTGGGATATGGCCTTCTCACCATAGACTGTCCTCGGTATTGGAGGGCAGGGGACCCAGAAGTCCCCAGCTTCTCACTCATGTGCCTTCCACTTACCAGAGGTGTCAGAGGTCTCCACAGAGCCCCCCCAAGGGTCTGTTCCAGTGCTGGGGAGTTTGTGGTTGGGGGAGCTTGGTGCCCAGGGGTCTGAGATGGGGGGTCCGGCAGGGAGCACTGGGGTCCTGCCCCAGGGCTCAGAGGAGGAAAGAGTAGGAAGCAAATCCCAAGGCTGGCTTCGGGACAAGGCATTTCCAGAGGGAACTGGAGACCAGGGGTCTGCAGAAGGTCCCCAGGAAGAGCCACTTGGCTCAGTGTTCGGCCTGAGACCTGGAAAGGAGAGGGAGCTAGAACAGATATTATCTCAACACTCCCCCACCCTTTGTCCAGGGCCCTTCCCATTTGCCCAGCCTAGGCTGGGTGGCGTGGTACCCACTTCACAAGTGGGATGCTAACTTGGGAGCGAGCTGCTCTCTCGAGCCCATGTTTAACAAATAAACCTAGGAACTTGGACCCCCAAACCTGGGAGTATTGGCCTTGTCAGGGCTTGGCTAGCCAGTGAGGGCAGCTAGGCCTTCTGCTGAGCTTCCCGGGAGCTAAGATCTGCAGATACGCTCCCCTGGCCCTTATGGCAAGACCCTATTCTAGAGGCAGCACAGTGACCCTGGAGAGGAGGTGATTTGCCAGTGGCTGGAAGGAAGGGACTCTTCAGAGGCCAGCCTTGGGGTGCGGGTGCGCGGGGTGGGGGGCCCTTGAAGTGCTGTGTGCCCACCTGGGATGTCCCATGGGTCAGCAGAGCAGTGTGTGGAAGGCAGGGCTGGGGCAGGTGCGAAGATGTCGGCCAAGTCCAGGATGGAGGACTGTGGAGGAGAGAGGCAACCATGGCTCAGAGGTGGGTGGGGCGCAGAGGGAGGGGAGGCCTGACCAGAAGCCAGCTCATTCCCCTCCTTTCTTCACTCCACAGGCATCTTTTAATGACCCCTCACCTCTGATCAGCACTTCCCATTTATAAAACGTTTCCTCACCCATGAAGTGTCCCATTTCATAACGTCGCTGTGAGGTAGGTAATGTACCTATTTTACAGATGAACCAACTAGTTGAAGCCCAGAGAGGGGAAATAATTTGTCTGGAGTTACATAGTCAGAGAGAAGCTGAGCTGGGTTAGATCCCAGGCCAGCAGAAAGGGGGAGTCAAGACAGATGATTTTTTTTTTTCTTTTGAGTCTACTTCTCTAGCCCAGTACCCAAGAGAAACTGGCCACCACAGACAAGGAGAGGAAGAAGAGAGAGGCTCCCCAGGGACAGAATGAATAGCCTGGGAAGGTTATCTTGTTTTCAGTGGCCACCTGCTCCCCTTCTCAGGGAACCTGAGATATTTTCAGCACCATGTGCTTGAACCAGCCCCTAGTCCAGACCCACAGTATCACATGATCCTACAGTATGAGAGTTGGAACTGTCCAAAACACCCACTGTGCAAAAAGGGAAACTGAGACCAGTAAGAATGTCCCAAGTCATTAAGTGGCAGGAAGCCCAAGGAGTCTCCATCATGATCCTGATATGCCACCTCACGTCAACTCTGTCACCAGCCCCTGCGGAGCGCCACACCTTCATTTCCCACTTGGTGCATGCAGCGAGCTCCGCTCTGCGCACTGCACAGACGCCAACGCCGTTAGCCCGCTCTCCTCAGCCCACTGTCTACCTGGCTCGTTTTCAGCTTCTCCTCCTCCTTTCTCTCTTCTCTCCCAGGCTCTCTGTCCCGTCGACGTCGGCCAGCAGGTTCTGCGCCGCCGCCGTTGGCCATTGGAGAGTCACCGTCCTTCCAGGACCTGGCCCCCTGCAGAAGGGACAGGTAGGGCATGAGCAGGTGCCTGGGCTCAGCAGAGAGCAGGTGGGAGGCACCCACGTTAGCGCAGCACAGAGAAGCTGATTAGTGAGTGCCCCTGGATCCGCCACCAATGCCTTCACCAGCACCAAGTCGTGGTCGGCACCTGTGGCCCAGGTGACTCTGCCCCCTGTACTACCTTCTCATGCTCCTGCCGGCTCAGGCTCAGAGCCAGCTGCAGCTGAAGGTCCTCATCCCTGTGGGAGGCTGGGGGCACTGGCTGTGAGGGAGGAAGAGAGGCGTGAACTTGACCCGGCGGCGTTCCCCACCCCGGGGCCGGAGGGCCAACACAGTCCTGCCGTGATGGAGACAGAGATGCCCCTTGCTCCAGGGGATGGGCTTTGAAAGAGTGGCTGTGCCCCTGCCTGGGCCTGGGATGCAGCTTAAGAATCAGCCTCCCTAGTCGAGGCTAGTGAGCACCCAACTGCTTTTTTTGCTCCTTAGCCACCCTCTGCAGTCTCAGGTCTCACCTATCTTGTTCTTCTGGGTACCCTGAGGACGTCTCTAGCCCACCCACGACGTAAGAGGCATAAATGTTTCCTGCCTGGTCGCCAGGATCCACAGAGATAATGGCAAAGATGATGAGGTATCAGAGGTGTTGTCCCTGTCCTTCCAAAGGACGGCTGGCGGGAGGGAGCAGTAGTCCCAGAGTTTTCTCAGAGTGTGTTCTCAGCACACACCTCTCCCGAACCACAAAGAGAGAGCAGACCCCTAAGGTGCACCACAGACCCCACCCCCACCCCCCAGCTACACGCGCCCTCTTCTGAGCCCTGCCCGAGAACACCGAAAGTCGGAGTCCATGACAGGGACAGATCAGGAACATCGGCATATGCCCTTGTGCTGTCTTGGGAGCTCGAGTGGGTCTCCGGGTCCAGGGTGGAGGGCCCAGGTGGAGGCTAGTGAGTACCAGAGCCCTTTCCTTCCTCCACAGGCATCCTGTCCAGACCCAAGTCTCACCTTTTCAGCCTCCTCACGGCTCATGGCCAGGGCCAGCTGCAGCTGCAGTTCTTCTTCTCCGGATGTCTGGGGCCGGGCCTGCTCCAGGTCTGAGGCATAGCGTGGGGACGAGGATGCAGCTGCAACAAGTGTGGTTCCCGTGAGCACACCGGTCCTCACGGTCCCCACACTCCTTTGCCTGCCAGGAAGCTGGGGCTCACAGAGAGGGAGCCAAAGGAGACTGGCTATTCAGGCTCCAGGGAGCCAGGCAGTGCACTGGGCACCCCTTGTGGATTCTCCACTGCACTGCTAAGGCAGATGCCAGGGTCACCTTGGCAGGGAGTAGACAGTGCAGGGGGTGCCTGGCCACTTAGGGCCCTAAGTCAGAACCTAATGCAGGTCCCTGACATCAGCTCTTGAACTCTTCCAATGGGACCCTAGCCTGCTTGGGGCCACGGGGATTAAGAGGAAGGGATCTGCCAATCAAACAAAATCACAGCCTCGGAGCCCCAAGCAGGCCATCATGGGCTTTATGGAGGAGGGCCGTTCTGGTATTCCTAAGGTCACAAAGGCCTCCACCACTGTGGCAAGCCATCAGGAAGGATGTTTCATCATCAGCCACCCTTGTTTTCAAGGACAATACTCTTGAGTGGTGGGGATTTACAGAATGTCAGATGTCTGAGTAAAAGGGTCAAGGGCATTCTCGGGCCTTGTCTCATTCAGTTCTCAGATCAAACAATAGAGGGAGGTAAGTGTACCTCTGTTTTACAAAGAGCTGGTTGCCCAAGCCACGCAGCTTGGAAGGAACAGAATGAATGGTATGCAACTCCAGAGGCTGCATTTCGACTTCCATGCCGCCCTCTCAACAGCTAACTAATAACAAGGACAAGCAATTGATAATGTCATTATTTCATCTGAATTGCAGAGCACCTACTATGTGCAAGCATGGTGCTTTTCACATTACGTTCTTTATCTGGATGGGTCCTCCCAGCCTCCTTTCTGGGGTAGGAACTATCTCTCATTCATGGCTGCTGGCTGCAGAGTCAGGACTGTGGCTGGGCTACCACCACCATCACCACCCTCTCCAGCCATACCATTAGGGTCTACTCACAGGTGTAGGAGGAGGGGGATCCCCGAGATCTTCGGCTGAAGCCCAGCTGCCCACTGCCAATGCTCATGCCTTCCAGGGCCATTCTCTCTTTGGTCTTGAGGGCGTGGGTCCGCTCTTGCCGCAGACGCTCCTCGTCCTTGAGCAGGGCCATCACCTGTTTGACCTTCTCACGGACATTGACGCCTTGGTCCTTGCCATCGCGGTCAATGTACTGGAAGTCCTTGAGTGTCTGGATGGTGTAGAGGTTCTCACGGCACTGGTGGGCCACACGCTCTGAGCCCGTCTTGAGTAGGTAGTCCAACAGTGTCAGAGCCTTGTATACATGTCGCCAGTTCTTCCCGCTATCATTGAGCCGCCGCCACAGCATGCCCATAACCTCAGCAAAGGCCACTGTGTTGAAGGTCAAGTCAGCGATCTCTGACATGAGGGAGCTGGGTGGGCCCCAGGGGTCATTGCTGGTGGCCTCGCGCACCTTGATCTCAGCCTCCGAGTAGTTGTGAACAATGTTCTTCACCTGGCGTCGGAGCGCAGAGGTTGTCATGGTTGGGGACTTGGAGGTGGGCAGCCCCCACCCCCGCCGGAGGTAGAGGGCTGAGGGCCACCGTCTTGAGGTCACTGTCTCGAAGGATGGGCCGCCGTGCTTTCAGCAGGGCGGCTGCGTCCGTGGGTTCCACATGGGGCTGAGGAAAAGAGGACCTGGGACTCAGGATCGGTGGCTTCCTCACCGTTCATTCACTCACCAAGTAGGACCTGGCCGGAGTGTCCCTGCTGCCAGGAATGGCTTTGGCCAACACTTACTTTTATTTTTGTTACTGTGCTCACTGCTCAATGGACCCTGTTTGTTTGGCATGCTTGTCCATACGACCACCAGACCAAGATGTTGAGATGCCTATCTCTAGCCACATAGGGGGACAGTGGGGCTCAGAGAATGAGTCCATGATTATTCCTCTGACATCACAGAGCTGGTAAGTGGGGGCAGTCCTCCCTCCACCTGAATGTGTGGCTTCAAGGATCATAAAGTGACCACCAGGAATGTCAGTTTCCCGCCTCACTCACGCTTGTGTCCTCCTCCTCCTCTGTTTGTGCCGCAACCTTTCCAGTTCAGCCCTTCACTCTTTCCTCTCAGACGGCCATTTTTCATAATTTAATTCACTCAACACCCATTTCCTGGGGGTCTTCCCCAAGCCCCGCGATATGCTTGTAGAACAACACCCACATCTAAGTGGAAGGATCCGCCGACCACAGCCCGCCGTGGGCATGCTCAGAGGTAAAGAAGGCACAAGCAAAGAGACTAGTGGGCCACTTCCTAGAGGAGGTGGCGCTAAGTTAGGGACACAGAGAGAAGGGTGAGGAGATGGAGGGAAGTGAGGAATCTGTGAGCCTGAGGGGTGCACCTGCTGGCCTCTGCCACACACGCACAGGAGTGCTGTGACCCGCCTGTGTCAAAGGGCATGTAGGTGGCAGGGCTGAGATGGACACCACCTGTTTCCTTGAGACTAATTCAATACTTATCGTCAACGTCACCTAGTTTGTTAATTAATCCATCTAATTGTCTCAGAACCACCTTTTCAGCCAGAATGGAAGTTCCCTGAGGGCAGGGACAGTCCAAGCAAACTACCAAGGCCTTCGGCACACAGAAGACCTCTGATAGTCCCATAGACGCAGATTCAGAGGGACGGTCGGCCACATGTCTTTCCACAGCCTCGGGAGGCAGAAGAGTCCCCCAAGGCCTTGCCAGAAACCCAAAATAGGAGCCTCCTGCTATCATGGCACTAATATAGTTTTACACAGGAATACATGTGTACACACACACACACACACACACACACACACACACACACACGGAGAGAAGCTGGGTCAGCAGAACCTCCACTTTCTCCATGAACGCCCCCCACCACCATGGAGATCACACCTCCCCAGATCACCCTCCGGCCTGACCTCAGCTGTCCCAGCCTCCTGAGAGGTGGGGGTAGGAGTTGCGGTATAGGAAGTTTGTCCTTCCAGCACCCACAAGTGAATAACTGGCTCACTTCAAAGTACCCACAGGCCTTGGCAGGTCCCAATCTTGGGCTGAAGGATGGGAGTCTGTGGAAATTGGACCCCCTGGCCCGTAGTGCTGCCTACCTTATGTCTTTCTGTCCAGCTGGCCTTCTGTGGGAATGCCACAGCCACAACTTGTTTAATTCCTGCCCTCCCCCTCACTAGTGACTCAGACCTGTATTCACCTCCCCAGTGGGAGGGCGGGCTGGCAGTGGCAGTCAAGATGGGAATAATTGTGCCCGAAGCCCGCCCTGGTGTACATGCTCCTCCCTGCTGGCTGCTGGAATTGGCAGAACCAGTCAGAGCAGACATCCTGACTCCACCAGAGCCCTACCTGGGCCTGGCTTCCTAGGCCTTCCTACTTTGCCAGGGTGGGTACAACCAGCCTCCACAGGAAGGGAGGGACCCTCTATGTAGGTCCCATGACCCTCCATGGGCTTTCCTCTCAGGAACAAGGTGGACATTGCTTGCACACCTTTGCTGGAGCTGGGGAAAGGAAGGGACCGGAAACAAAAGGAGGTGCCTGAACCTCCACCCAGCCATTCCTCTACTCTCATGGAGTTTAACACAGTAGGGACACAGTAAGGAGCAAGAGGGGCAGGGTGAGGTCCCAGAGCATGCACGAAGCTGAGGCTGAGAGGAAAGGAAGGCCGGAGGAGCGGCTGGGAGCCCTGCCAGCGGTGTTACAAGCAGAAGGTTTTATCGAACACAATATGCCCAGGAATAAAAAGGGAGTGAAACACAAACCCAGCTGCCGATAAGACGGTGCTGCAGCGGCAGCCCCGGGCAGCGGGTATGGAATTACTGCAGTGACCTTGAGCCAGACCCTGCCAGGTGGAGGGAAGGACACTGAGAAGCCAGAAGCTGGGGAGGCCACTTCAGAGATGGAAAGAAAGCAGGAGGGTACTAGCAGAGAGGGAGCATAGGCTGGTCTGGGGGTGGGGGCATAGAGTAGAGACTCCCTCCTCCACACGGGTCCCCAAGGAGGAATTGGAGTGGTGGAACTTCTCAGGACACAAGTCCAGAAGGGTGCCAGGGTGGGGGATGGAGAAATTCCTAAAAGTCAGCAGTGAGGAAGCAGATGGCATCCCCAGGGTGGAGGTTCAGAGAGATGGAAGGAACCAATCACATGCACGAATTTGCCAAAGTATGTGCGCACCTCCACCAGCCAGCACCCCTCCCCATCTTCTGTCCCCATCAAGCCCAGAGTGAGCAATGGGGGAGTGGCAATATCCTTCCTGCTGCTAGAGGGATGTGGGACTGGATGGTAGCTAACCTTAGGCTGTCTGGCTTCATCAGATCTGAGTTGGCTGTGTCCTGGGGAGCACTGGAGTGGACTAAGGGGGCATCCTGAGGTTAGCGGTGTAAATACAGAGATATGCAGGATCTGAGGGAAATGCTACCAAGAACCTCTGGATGGTCCTACGTCCCTGTCCCTTTCCGGAGGGACCAGGAAGGTAGAGGGGGTTGCAGGTAAGAAGCCTCCAGGTCCCCCACAGTCCTGCCTTTCCTGGGAGAGAGACTTAAGTCCTGAGCCCACTCTAGCCCCCGCTCTCATGCAGGGCACCACCGCGGCGCGGGAGGGAGCTTACCTCCAGTGTGGGCTCCCTCGCCCCAGCCCCAGCAGGCTCTGCAGTGACCCTCTGACTTGCAGGGTATGGCACAGCCTCAGGAGCAGCTCCAGAGCCATCCACCATAGACCCTGGTCTCGGGAGCCCCACCCTCGACCGAGAGGCACAGGGCCCTCTGAAGGACAGCAGGGTCCCTCAGCGGGTTGGAGCTCAGCCTCTGGCGGCTGCCTCTCCGACTCCTGCCGGCCAGCAGTCTCGGGAGGAAAGTTGTTCAGCTGGCCAGGCAGGTCTGCCTCAGCAGTAACAGGACACAGGATGACGGGCGGGCGGGCGTGTTTAACCCCTTCCTGCTGTCTGCCGGGCGGTGCCTCCAGGGGAGGAGGCCTGCTTGTTTGTCTGCCCGTGACCTCAGGGGTACAGACCTGGAGCTGACCCACTCCCACCCTGCAGGGAGTTAACCTTTCCACTACCTCCTCAGCTAGAAGGGGAATGGGGTAGGGGTGGAGGCAACTCCAATACCACCACCACGCCCTACCCCTCCTAGTCAGGGCGACAGTAAAACAGAGGGCAGAACACCCCCTGGGGTTTGTCTTTTCCTGCTCCCAGCTGGCTTCCCCTTGCTACCCACAAGGGTCCTGAGGACTCTGTCTCTCCAACTCTGGAAGGGCCCTGCCGGCTCTGAAACTCCTTCTTCCACATCTCACCTGGAGAGTGCTGAAGGCTCATGAGGTCAGTATGAATCCCACAGGATTTGGCTACTCCCAAACTACCGGCTGCCCTTAATCCTCCATTGCTCCTAGAGACCCCCCCCCAGCCCACAAGCTGTTTACAGTTGTTACAACAGAAGCCCCGGGATGACCTGAGCAGGTATTGCCTATCTTTCCCAGCTGTTACCCTTCACCCATTTGACAAGTCCCACATTCCTTCGTTCCAGGAAGGAGTGGGAATTCTCAAAGCTGTTTTCCTGGAGACATTGTCTCCCCGTGTAGCCCAGGCTGGCCTCAAAGTCATTATGTAGCTCAGGTTGATTTTGAATTTACAACCTTCAGTGTCCTGCTGAGATTACAAACATTTTTCACCGTAGCAGGAAAATGGCTCAGGGCCAGATGCATTGACTGGCAGAAGGGATAAAGCCGACCAGAGCCCCAAAGACTAACGTCTGCTCAGGACAAGGGTGCTAAAGAGAACAGATGGGGAGGGGAAATTTGTACATGTGAGAGTTTCTTGGATTGTTGCAAATAGTTGTACTTTCGTTTTTCTTCAGACCTGGGGTGGGTCTGGGCTCAGCCCCAATTCCTCCGGGGTTTAAAAAGCTTGGCAAGTGCCATCCTGAAGGATGAGGTGAGCTGAAGTAGAAGATTCCAGAAAGTGGGATTCCATCAGCCCTGCTTCTCCTCCTAGTCCCTCACTCGGTCCCTACTACGTGAGGCCACTTGAGCTGGATCCGGGAAGCATGACCCTGAAAGTGTGGGCCTGAGGCAGGCAGCGGCTGCTCCAGAGACCTCCAAAGGCAATCTGCCCTGTCACCTGACCTGCTCTCCTGCTTTGTCATTTGCACATCGCCTCCCTCCATGTGGGTGGCTCTGAGAACCACATGTGGGCAGGTGGGATACAGGAGGTCCTAGACCATCACCTGACACAGTTGAGACCCAGCGTCCCCAGAGGCACAACGGGTGTGGTAGGAACCTAAAGATTCTTTATTGACTTTTTCTAACCATTTTCCCAGGAGGCACTGCGGGCCCAGGAATCAGCTGCAAAAACGCAAAGGTTCTTCAACACTCTTTCGGGGGCTGAGCTCATCAGCCAGGATCATCATGTCGGTAACCAGGTTATCCAGCAGCCCATAGACCTGCAAGAATGGGATAAACATCAGAGGCCAAGGCTGGCTCTGCAGAAGGCACCAATGTACCAGCCTTACTAAAAGAGGAAATATGGAGAGCAGAATGCCAAAGTTGGATAGTGTATTGCTGCATGTAATTGTTTTTTAGATCTGGAGTGGGCCTGGGCTCAGTTCCAATTCTGTGTTGGTTTTCCAGAAGCCAACTCTCCTTCCTGTAAGATCATAGATCTACATACTGAAACTTCCAAAACCGAGACTGAGCCCCCTACTGTGGCTGGACCACACAGCCTAAGAAAATTGACTCAATACCATAGAGTCAAAGAAGGGTTTATACCCCAGAGTCCCCAGAACCCTAAAACTCCTTTCTAGAGCCCATCAGCCATCAGAAAACTCAATGATGTCACAGGCAGCAGCAAACTACTTCTGGTCAAATGAGACCCTTGGGTGGTCCCACAGTGTACAGTAATGCAAGCCCAGATTCGCAATGCCTTATCAGTGAAAGACGAAGCATCCCTGTTAGATATGCTGACTTAGTGTGGTTTTGTAGACCTCCCACACACCTTGAAAAACCATAGTAACCAAAGACTAAGATGACCTGGGGCGTCTCTGAGGACCTGTTGCTTAACACCAGATCATGATCAAGTCTTTTCAGCAAATGCACACTTGCTAGCCTTTGAATGTACATTGCCCCCTCCAGAGCTCATGTTAAAATCTGCTTCCCATGTGAGTGCTGAGAAATCTGGAGACCTTTAAGAGGTCTTTGAGTCATGAGGGTCCCACCTTCACAGAGCAATTAATACCTTCACCACAGTGAGTCCTAGCGGTTGTCAGAAAACAAGTCTCCTTTTGTGTACCTTCCACACAAGCCCAGCTGCCCCTCTGCCGTCTACCGTGAGTTGAAGCAGCATGAGTCCCTCCCGGGTGCCCTACTCCTGGGCTTTCTGGCCTGCAGAGCCAGGAGCCAAGATAAACTTTTCTTATAAATCTCCAGATCTGTGGTATTTTCTTATAGCAACAGAAAGAGGACTAAGACAACCCTCCATGGTATTCTCCCAGGAAACACACCTCTACCAGTGTGTACCTGTGGGGAGGTAGAAGCAGCCCTACAAAGGGAAGGGCTTCACCCTTGGTGTGTTCCCGGGAGTCTGTTTTCCAAAGGACAGCTAGAGGCACCCTACTTCCGATCACATCACTCTCAATGAGGAATTCTGCATGACTTCCGGGGTCACTCAGAGAAAACTCCAAGGCCTCACACGGGCCAGCCAAGTCCTTCTTGACCACCCTCATGCCCTGTCCGCAGCTTCTCTTCCTTGCCACTCTCCTGGCCCACTTCCTCCTCCGCATCAGCTACTTCCTCTGCCTAAGGCACCCTTCCTTGGCCAACCTTCATTTCTCTCTGGTTTTTGGGTTTGGGTTTTTGGTTGGTTGGTTGGTTGGTTTTTTTGTAGGTAAAAGCAGGTGCTCCTCAGTGGAATAAAGGGAATGAGAGATGCAGGGGTGAGGCCTGGGAGGTATGGCAGTCCCCTCTTCCCTTCACCTCAGCATGCAACCTCTGGGTATATTTCTGCATGACCAGGGGGTCTATGGGCTCCTGCGAAGGGACCGTGCTGTCAGGGGTAGGGTCTTCTGAGGAGAGCCTGTCCCGGCTTGCAGACTTCACCACTTTCTTGTCATCCTTTGCCTTCAGTTTCTTGCTATTCAGGCGATCCTGCGTGGAGAAATTGGAGACACACAACCTCAACAGCTCCTGAAGGAGGTCTGATGTTCTCTCTGGTGGCTCTCCTGGAGCAACTACCCCCTCCCACCCCCCCTCCCCAGCACTCCCCAGCCCCATCGGGGTGCAGATCACAGCCGCACATACCTCCTTCCCTGACGCCTTGGCTCCCTTTTTTTCCTCTTTGTCTCTGGCACCTAGTAGTTTCTTTTCCTGGGTGGCCCCTTTCCGCTCCTCCTTCCCAACTTTACTCACCGCCGCCTTCACTTCTACGACTGTGGGGGACTTTTGACCTAAGAGGGAGAAAGTGGGAGACATATAGAAGCCCCCCCTCGCCGGCCCCCCCCCCCCCCCCCCCCCCCCCCCGGCACATGGCCTGGCCTACACCACACAGCCTTATGCCAAGGTAAGCTGGGTGATGAGGAAAACCGAGAATCCCTGCAGGCTGAGAGCAGAGAGGGCTAAGGAAGTGGGGGAGGAAGACTTCCTCGAGCCCTCCACGTGACCTTAGGGAACAAGGCTGTGTGACCAGGGCAAGAGACAGTTCGGTCCCAGCTCCACTCTGTTTAAACTCCCTGTGATTCAGCGTGCTAAACAAGGGCACTCCACCAAGGTAGAATCTGAGTCTCAAGTCCTGGCAACAGACACAAAGATGGATGAAAAAGAAAAAAAAAACCAAGCTGGATGAGCCCCACCACTAGGGACTCAAGTACCTACCATAAGGGGTTAAACAGTCAAGGTATTATTGCCTTCAGGGCAGAGGGCTGAGGAAGAGAAGACTACATCGAGGTGAGCCCTCACAATGTCTGACCTTGGTCTTCTGGAACATCCAAATAAACCGTCTCCTTCTCAGGCAATCCCAAAAGAGCCCTTAGCCACAGTGACTGGCTTACCAGGCTGTCAATCACATCTCGCCACAGCTGCAAACTAGAGGAAAAGACCCACTGGAGAAAAGCCGTGACTCTTCAGCTGTCCTCGAACCGTCGGAGGCTCGGATGCCTACCTTTAAAGACTCCAGCACGGGGGAACACTACCATGAAAATGCCGTGTTACCAAGCAGCCAACCCTCCCTGACACCATGCAAGTGTTCACATCGGAATCTGGCTTCCCCGTGCTGGTAACCAAGAGACAAGGACTAGGACTAGTATTAAGAAGCCTGAATGAACTCAGTCTTGCTTGGGAGTCTAAATTCCAGCGTGGAGTGATGGCTAGTCTTGGTCAGGCTCCATGGGGAGGCCTGAGCCTTGCACAAGATTCCCGGCATGAGGCTCCTGAGGCTGTGTTCTGGGCCTTTCAAAAACCTATCCACATAAGTCCAAACAGGCGACGGCTCGGTGACACTGAGAAGTGAAGCTTTTTGTGGGGCTCCCTCTCTCCTCAAGTGTCCTCTGCCCCCTCCCACCCCAGCCCCCATTCTTCTGCTTGAGAAGGAACAAGACAAGGGGAAGGGGTGGGGGTGGGGGAGGCTAACTATTTGTTCTACGGCAACTGTTCCCCAGAGGAGCAACTGGCAGCTGTGAGGCTGCTGTGGCAGCTTCCAGAGTATGAGATGTTTGCAGCATTTCTTAGCATCCCGAGCTCAAGGGAAACAGCCTCCTGGAGTCCGGAACTACCTTCCCAGGCCCCACGGCCAGGTACTACCAGGGGAAGGGGATCTGGGGTTGTCCCCTGGAGGGTACCTACCACATCTGGTGCAGGAGGTCAGACTGCAATGGCTTCTGCTCCTGGCACAGCTCCACGGCTGCCTTGTTGAGCCGGATGAGGGCATCCTCTCTCTGGATCTCCTCAGGAAAGGTAATCACTGCCTGGTTAGGGCCATGGACACCATGGGCAACTATTCTGGACCAGAACTCCAAGGGTCCCTGTGTTTTCTCTAGCAATGGACCTAGCTACATGGAACAGGGCCCAAAACTAGAAGCTATGGAGTCTATAGAAGATGCCTTCTCTGGGAACCAGTGACCTGCCTCAAAAAATCTCCTCCCATGAACCTCAGTTTTCAAGGTTTTCACAGAAGCTCATTGTTTAAAAAAAAAAAAAAAAGTTTTGACTCAAGAGACTACTTTTTCTGGGCCCTCAGGTTTCATCTATATGCCCATGGGCCAAGGGAAGTTGCTGGAGCCTCCCCGGCAGGTTCCAGAAAGGAGCAACACACTCAGGGGCCTTCTCCACCAACCCCGTCAGAGTCTTAGGGGCACCTTTCTGAAGTCCTCCAGGCAGAGGTTCCACTTGGGCAGGGGAAG